ATTTACTTTAAAATTTACTGTATATTCGGAAATATAGTAGTAGTAGTAGTAGTAGCTTTATTTTTACTTCATTTTAAAGTTATTTTATTACATCGAAGTTATATAATAATTATATTACATATAATTATAATAAATATACATAAAGCTTACAGCTATGGCATTTTAGCCGTCTGCCGGAAGTTTAGATTAATCTAATAGCTAATTAATTAATAACTAATTAATCCAATTTTTATAAATATTAAATAGGTATTCTTGCTTATGAGCTCAATACAACATAAAAATTAAATTAAATTACTTTAACAAAAATAATAGATTTTATATAAGTTAATTTAAAAGTCTTCATTAATAATATTTTGCCTATATTTAAATGTAGTTTTAATAAACGCCGTTAACAATCTCCAGTTGGGGCCATTCAGTAACCGTATGGTTTCACTGACATCGAGCGCGGGTTTACCGAAGTACAGCAATCTATGTTCTTTAAAAATTGGGCATTCACCTACTAAGTGTATAACATCGCCTTTCAATTTAAGGTTGCATATCGTGCACAGCGTGTCTAGACTTTCATGCGGTACGTAGCACAATCGTAGGAGCTCGCCGCGGGTTTTGAAGATTGTCCTTATTGTTTCTAGGTCATATTGCTCGTGAAAGTAATTATTGACACCTAGATCATAATTCAACTTACTATATGCATCTCTCGATATACTGTTTCTTGCCGTTTCTACAAAATTTCTTCGTTCTTCAATACTTAGTTTCGTTATTATATTTTTTTGCCACATTTTCCAGTTTTCATTAATACTCAAATCATTAGTTATATTTAACTCGGATGCCAGATTTGACCATTTTTCAAAAAATAATTTTTTTTCATTTATTAGGTACTGCGCTAATGTTTTTTGAATCCTATTGTCTGGCAAATTCCTAACACGATTGATGTAATCAAAATGCAATTTTAATGTTTGAGTATATAGTGTCGGTAGACCAGTTTCTAAATGCACCATATAATTTGGGGTATTTTTCGGCAAACGAAACGTTCTCTTTATATAAAATGTCTGCAATTTTTCTACTGCGTCATATTTATCAACACCCCAGATTTGCGCTGCATAATTTAGAACTGACTTAACTGTGGCTTCAAAAACTTTGTATTTTACGGGCAGTGACACTTTCGGATTTCCTAAGACATTTATCCAGGTACAATTAATAGCCAATTTAGCTTCCTTTAACTTCTCGTTCAAGTGGTTATCGAATTTTGCGTTATATTTCATATTTATTCCTAAATATTTATAATTATTAACCACTTCTAATTGAACATCGTTAAGGTACCATTTTTCATCATTTCTCAATCTTCTAGCATGTTTCCTAAATACCATCACTTTTGATTTGTCTGTATTTATAGATAGTCCCCATAAGTTGCAATATCTATTTAATTCATCTATCATATTTTGTAACATTATTGGAGAATCTGCAAACAACACAATATCATCAGCATATAATAGTACCTTTAGGCACATATTGGCAATCGTAACACCACCAGAAAGATATTTACTTAAGTCATCAACGAACAGTGCAAACAATATAGGGCTTAAGACACAACCTTGTCTCACTCCGGTACACGTTTGGAACCATCTCGATGTACTTCTTCCGTCCCATACTGTTGACTCATTGTTGCAGTATAGACTTTGCAGTATTTTCAAAATTTTTGTTGAAAGACCCAGCTGGCTTAGTTTGTAAAATAGTACGTTTCTTTGTATTGTATCGAAAGCAGCTTTAAGATCTACGTAAAAAACATATAACTTCTTGCTTTTTGCAATAAACTCTTGCGCTACACTAGTAATGACGAAAATATTATCTACCGTGGAGTAACCTTTTCGAAATCCAGCTTGAAATTCGCTTAATATGTTGTTTTGATCAACCCAATTTTTAATTCTGTTATACAGGAGTGTTGTAAAGACTTTAGCTGATGTATTAAGAAATGCTATTCCTCTATAATTTGCTACATTATTTGGGTCACCTTTTTTAAATAGGGGAAATGTTATGGCTTTTTTGTAACTATCAGGTGGGGCTGCATTTTCAAATATATATATATATATTTTTATTTTTATATTTATATATTGTATATATGTATATGCATGTTACTACTTCGGGTTTAAAAATCATTTTATTTCTTTGCTTAAATTAAACGAACACTTTACGTTTAATACAATATATTAATAATAATAATTATATAGAGAAAACTTTTACATAAGTATAACCAATTACTTAAGAATCAACCTCTGAATTTATATAATATATTGATACCAATCCATTTTAAATGAATTTATGTAATAATAATAATATTATTATATTTTAAAGCATGATAAACTACTGTAAACTTTACATAAATGCGTGTATTTATTAGTTAAACAAGTATATTAAATTTAAATGTTTATATAAATATAATTGTATATAATAAAAAGACTCAAATAATGAATGAAGAAAAAGAAATGATTATAATTCCAAAGATATAAAAATTTGAATAGCGCAAACGCAGGATAATATATATTGTGATATCAAACATATATACTGTATATAAACTTATATATCATATTTTTTTTATATATATTATTTATATTTAACAAAAATTATTGAAATTGTTTATTATTATCTACTGACACTGATGTCCTTACAACATTGATATTTTGTAAATTTTTTTTTTAACACATTTATTGCTATAAACATATCACACATATACTTATATCTATACAAAATTGTTCAATAAAATAAATCTTGAATTTAAAAGAAATAGTTTGTTATACTGTGTTAAGTTTTATATTAAATTTATTATAGAAATCAATTGTATCAATTATTGTAATTGCATTATTATTATTATATTAATTATATGTATACATAAGTACTTTAAATTAGCTTCTTATGTTGTTTTTGTTGTTGGTTTTATTTGTGTTATCAAATATTTTTAGCAATGTTGCTGGCTCTCACAACTAAATATTCGCACGCTAGCAGCGTGCCAGACGTAACATGATCATCTTCACACGCCACTGTGCAAGGTTGATAAGCATTATGTTCATTTCTTTTATCGTGTGTTCGTTGTGAGTTGCAGCAATAGGCAAGCCGCTGCGACGATTCTGTTGTTCCCACAGGTACAATATGAGTTGGCGCATGGCTTCAGTGATAATACATTTAAGTCACCAAATTTGTGAAGCAGGTTGATATATGGCAAAATACATATATCAGCTTGCTGGCTGCATTAAATAGTATAAGCATAGGTAATGCACATATTTCGCACGAGTGCCCTTGGCCTTGAATGTTCAAAGTCCATCGGATAACAAATCGTGGGAACTAGGTGCATTTCCTCCTTCACCATAAGCTTAGTGTTAAGAATTTTGTATAAAAGCACAACATTTTTAATAAACATCTAATTCAATTTCAAAACCTGAATTCAACCAAGTGTTTTTTTTTGGTTTAAGTGCCTAAAAGAACCTTGAGCAAAGTCGGTTTATGTGCCGAATTTGAAAATCAATAAATAATAAAATAAATAAATAAATACCTATATATATATTCACATATATATATAGCTATTTATAAATTACGTAACTGGTTCATGTGCCGGATTGCGTAAATGAATTACTAAGCTGGTTAAAGTGCCGGATTAGTGAATCCGTATCAGACTAGGTACGGAGGATAACATAAAGAGTAAAGCTAAGCTGGTTCAAGTGCCGGATTAGCTAAAATCTGTATCAGACTAGATATAGATCATAACATACTGCATCCAACATCGTAAAGGTTAAAACTACGTTGGTTGAACGCTTGGGTCCCCTCGAATACAAATTTCTTGTAAGACCTTGGACTAGGCTGAGAATTACCACGGCTACGAAAAATTAGGTTCATTACATGGTCGAAAATATTTTATAACCCAATGTATTGCGGCTAATTCTTGCTCTATACGTGCTCTCGTGAACGATCTCGAGGCGTAAGCAACTGGAAGTTGAAACCCATTGTGCTTCTGACTGAGCACAGCACCACAAGCATGTTTACTTGCATCGGTGTTGAAACAAAACTGTTTTATATAGTTTGGGTATTGCAATATATTCGGACTTAATAATGCAGATTTTAAAAATTGGGATGCTTTTTCACATTTATTGGTCCATTCGAAATGTGCGTTATTTTTACATAACTTAGTTAAGAGACGTGAATGTTCAGCGAAATTTGAAAAAATTTCGTATAATAGTTGCAAAAAGCAACGAATCGTTTGATTTCATCGTCATTTTTGGGAGTTGGATAGTTAACATGGATAGTTAAGTTATTTTGAATTTACTAGTATATTTTCGGCATGTTTGGAAAACATCTGTCAAATTTCTCAGCACATGCTTTTCCGTCTGGCCTAACATCACTAAATCGTCCATATATAAGAAAGCTTGCTCGACTGTTAAACCCGCAAATGCAAAGATCATCATTGTTTGATGCTACTTTTAGTCCATACGGTAACCTTTTAAATCGATATGAACCTTTTTCTGTCGTATGGTTTACTCTTTATTCATAACTAAATATCACATTCTTAAAACTACCTTAAAATACATTATGCAGAAGCGCACATATGCCTACGTAGTAGTAATATGACTGAATGTGAAGATGATTCCGAATTTACAATCGTTGACGATGAAATTATCGTTCCGCCTTCCGTCCATAATAAAGTTAAAATAGCTATAACGCAGTCCAAAAACAACAAGAACGGCCGTGATCGAAAACTATTTAATTTAATAGTTTTTTCAGTTCTTTGATTTTATATAAAGATAGTAAAATCCAAATGCACCTTTTAGTTGAGAGGTTCACGTACCACTGATTTATTCTTAAAACATATTATTAACAATAGCAAAAACAAAACAAATGGAAAGCTGCGACTATTAAAGCTTTTTTTTTAGTTGTAAATAAATGTTAAATAATTGAAATTAAAATAAGTATAAGAGTACCCAATTGACTTAACATACCGGCCCCCATTGAGACCGTCAGGTTCAATTAATAGGTAATACAGCTAGCTTCGTAATTGACCGCCGAAACACTGCATGCTGAGTCTGAACATCTGCCGCACGTACGTGTCCGTCAGACTCGGAATTAACCTTTACTACTCGGCCTGTTAACCAATGCATCGGCGGTAAATTATCTTCAGCAATCAATACTAAGTCGCCTATTTGAACGTTATCGTTTGGCTTTTTCCACCGGTATCGCTGTTGTAATTCCTTTATATACTCATGTTGCCATCGTTTCCAAAATGCTGCTTTTGCTGCCATTATCCGATGCCATCTTTGAATATTTGATATGTCATTTTCTAATTGAGCACGCCCAGGCAAGCTTCTGAGCGGACATCCAATGAGAAAATGATCAGGAGTAAGGACTTCCAAATCATTGGGATCAGTAGATGTCGCACTGAGAGGACGTGAATTCATGACTGCTTCTATCTCCGCTAATGCAGTTGTCAACTCCTCAAACGTCATTTTTGCTCCATGCAACGTCCGGAACAGATGTGATTTGGCTATTTTAACTGCCGCCTCCCACAGTCCCCCAAAATGCGGAGCTCTAGGAGGAATGAAGCAAAATTGAATGGCATTAGATATGCAAAAATTATTAATATTTGATATGTAATTAGCATGATAAAAATCATGCTGAAACTCTTTCAACTTTTTCTCAGCGCCTACAAAGTTAGTGGCATTATCACAATAGATTTTTGTTGGTATGCCACGTCGACTGATGAAACATTTTAAAGCAGCAATGAAAGCATCACTCGATAGGCCGGAAACTGCTTCAATAAGCACAGTATATGGGACCTTTCCCCGGATCTTAAGATAAGTTGGGATCGGTCCGGCAAAATCGATTCCTGTAATTGTAAATGGTCTATTTGCTGTTACCCGATCTGCCGATAGATTGCCCATTATTTGCGTTGATAATCTAGGTTTGTAACGGAAGCAGTGTGTGCACTGGTTTACCACTGTTCGAGTCAATGACCGGCAATTTATAATCCAAAATTGTTGTTGTATGAGAGCAACAAGCGCACGTGGATCAGCGTGATAATTAATTCTATGTATATGCATGACCATCAGCTTAACAAATTGGTCCTCTTTTGGTAATAGAAGTGGCCATTTCGTAGAAGTTGAGATGTTGGCATTCTTCAAACGACCACCTACCCTCATTAAAGTAAGGCTGCCAGATGTTTCTAGGAATGGAGCCAATAAGGCTAATTTACTCCGTAGTTGCTTTGAGTTGTGTAAAAGTACTATATCCTTGTGAAAATAGTGTTGTTGAACAAAATATACAATATGCAACAGAGCGCGTTGTATTTCATCTACCACGAATAATGATTGAATTTGTGCCTCGTGCTTGTGGTGCCATCTTAGCATCAGCGCAACCACACGTAGACATTTGTTATAATTGCTTATCTGATGAAGTCTCTGTAGCAAATACGGAGGCTTGACATCTTCCAAAATGCACACTAGTTTGCGAGTTTCTAACTTGCGTTCGTCAACTGTTAGTTGATTTATTGAATGTTCTGGCCAGTTTGGCAACGGCAACATTAAAAATGAAGGTCCTTTGAACCAATTTGATGACAGTAATTCTGGGACGGTACACCCTCTAGAAACGAGATCAGCTGGATTCTGATCGGTTGGTACATGGCGCCAAAATGCATTTACCGACCATTCTTGAACGTCAGCAACTCGATTACCAACAAAGGTCGCTAGTGTTGAGGAATGAGAACTAATCCAATGTAAAGTAATCTGTGAATCAGACCAAAAGTATGTGTTATTAATATAATATAATAAATTATCTTTAATCTTGTTCCAGCATCCAGCAAGAAGATGGGCGGCACACAATTCAAGACGTGGTAATGATCTTGCTTTCACAGGAGCAACTCGGGATTTGGAAGTTAATAAATGAACACTAACATTGCCAAAATCATCTTAACAACGTAAATAGATACAACATCCGTATGCTCTAATTGATGCGTCGCTGAAGCCATGTACTTGCATGTTAATTGAGTTCTTGATTCGAGTGAACCTAGGAATTTTAAGAAGTACCACTTGATGCAAATCAGTAAGAATTCTGTTCCATGTTGTGTAAATTTCTTGAGGTACGGATTCATCCCAATCACATCCAATTATCCATAGTTGCTGTAACAAAATCTTAGCTTTGATGATAAGTGGACTAATTAGATTCAAAGGATCATATAAAGATGATGCTAATGACAAAATGTTTCGTTTAATATGACTTGCTGGTACATTGGTTGTTTGAAAAGTGAAGCAAAAATAGTCTTCTTTCGTATTCCATAACATTCCAAGTGGGCATGCCATATCTCTTGCAGTCTCAATATCTGTAAGTTTAACATTTGGTGCAGTGATGTTAACATTGTTGCTATTCCACTTTGTTAGCGATAAGTTGTAAAAATCCAATATTTCGGTAGTTTCATTTTTGATGGCTTGCAATGTCTCCAAGTCATCTGCTCCTGAGATCATGTCATCGACATAAAAATCCCTTTTTAATATCATTTTACCTGTTTCTTTACTGTAAGGATAGTTATCTGCAATGTAGTGTAAGCACCGGGTTGCAAGAAATGGCGCAGAACTCGTACCATATGTAACAGTATTCAGTTGATAAACTGAAATATTTTGCGATTTATGCGATTTACGCCACAAAATTAGTTGAAAATTGCGATCACTTGGATGTAGCCAAAACTGTCTATACATTTTTGTTATGTCAGCCGTTATTCCATATTGATATAATCGAAATCTTAATACTGTTATTACAAGTTAATTTTGGATTGTATGGCCCACCATTAATAACTCATTTAATGACACTTGTGATGATGTACGAGCTGAAGCATCAAAAACTACACGTAATTTAGTAGTTGTGCTATCTGGTTTAATTACATAATGATGTGGGATAAAATAGTGGGGAGAATTTAAATCCAAATCCTTAACCATCGACATATGTCCGAGATTTTCGTAATCTTGCATAAATTTCACATATTCCAATTTTAACTCAATATTGGAGTCAAGTCTTCTTTCCATAGATAAAAATCTTCTTAATGCAATTTCCTGAGAATTTCCAAGAGTACTTGTGTCGCATTTGAATGGCAACCTTGTCATAATTCGGCCATCGTTACTGAGAGCTACAGTTTTTTGAAAGTTGGTTTCGCATTGCTCTTCTTCTACTGACCATACTGATGGTGGATGAACTGGTTCCTCTATCTGCCACAACCGTTCCAAGTTCGCATTAATTGTATCCAAGCTGACAAAACAATGGGATGAAACAATTTTGGAATCTTTAGTAGAACAATATTTTCCTGAAATAATCCAGCCGAACAAAGTTTTTTGTAAAGTCGATAAATTCTCACCAAGTTTTATTTGACCTACTGCTAGCAGTGAAAAGAAAGCTTCTGCACCAAGTAACATATCAATTTTTTGGCGTTTGTAAAATGTCGGATCAGCTAATTGAAGATTTTCAGGAATTTGCAACTCTTCTAACGACAGTGTTTCATTAGGGTGATATCCAGAAATTCTTTTGGTAACGAGAAACTCAAGTACTGCTTCAAAACTGTTTAACCTTGATCGTATCGTGCTTATTGTTTTATGTTTAATATTTACTGATGCAGCTCCTACACCAACAAGACTGTTTTTACTTCTTGACTTTTTTAGATGAAGTGCATTACACATCGATTCCGATATTAAATTAACCTGTGAGCATGAATCTAATAACACTCTACAGAATTGAAAAGTACCCGATGCATCTTTAACTAACACCATTGCTGTTGCCAAAAGCACCACTGATTTTACCCGAGCAGAAGTTTCGTCTGGAACTAGTACATTAGTGTGTACATGACTTAGAGGTGATATTGTTTGCTCACATAAAGGTTCCATATTAGATGATGCACCAGTATTATGTAAAAGTGAATGATGTCGTTTTTTGTACATTCGGCATGAATACGTTGATGGACAATGTGTGCTAATGTGATCTCTCCGGAGACAATTAAAGCATAGTTGGATTTGCTTCGCCTGTTGACATCGATTTTCAACTGATAGAGCTAAAAAATTTGGACAATTAGTAATATAATGACCAGGTTTTAAACAATATACACAATGAATCTGACTTGTAGACTTTTGTTTCGTCATTAAGATGTGCTTGAAAAGTTTACGAACACTAGTACGCTGCAACTCTTGGCTGATTGTAGTCTTTGGCTTGGCCTTTGCTAGTACCATTAATTGTTGACATCGCCTATCAAGCATCTTGCAACATTTCAGTCAAGTTGGTAGTTTCGTATAGTCGTGACATTCATTCCATTTACGTTTCGTCTCACTATCCACTTTCGTCATTACCAAGTGAATCATGATTGCATCACATATCTGTTCGTGTGATCCCAGTGACTTAAGCGAACTATATAAAGCCGAAATGTTGTCCACTAATTGGCGAAGTTGAGTCGAAGGCTTAATACATTGTGGTTCATCAAAAAGTGTTGCAATGCCTTCCAGAAATATGAGAGGGTCATTGTCGTATCGCTCTTTGAGTCTTTGGAGAGCCTTCGGATAGTTGTCTTCCGTTATCTGGAATGCCTTTACTGTAGCTAACGCTTCGCCTTGAAGACACGATAACAAATGGTTGAATTTTTCAGTTGATGTCAAGAGCGAATCACTATCTACAAGGTTTTGAAAAATATGTATAAAATTTTTGAATTCAAGATATTTGCCGTCAAACTTAGGCAACTTTAAATGTGGCAACCTGTTTGACGGCAGCTGCGGTAATGAGAAAGTTTGCTCATGGTAGCTTTGTCTCCTCCGTCCATCAACTAATGACAATATTAAACATTTTGTACTTACGTACAGCTCATCGATGTCAGAGCGCGCTGAATCTGTAGGACAATATCGCTCTATCTGATTCTGGTAGTAAGATACCTGCTTATAATATGCATCTAGCATCCCAAGTCTACACTCCAATTCCGTTGACGATAAAGTTTTGTTGTTCTCAATAATATTTTTAATTCGCGTTATACTGCCTTTTGTAGATGCTCGCTGCTGTTTTAATTCTTCTAATGAAGGCAGTGGCGGCAGGTAATTTGACGCTGCAGTCGAATTGTTTTCGGCAGCGCTGCTGCATTATTAGAATTTTGCATCACCGAAAGCAAATGCAAAACCGAAAATAAAACAAACTAATGTTATGAAGGTTAATAACCTGAATGATTGTCAAGGTTATTGTAAAATTGAACAACTGTAGTTTATTTTTAAGTTTTAAACAATTACTGATGTAAGAGACTATTAATATTAAGTTTTTAATATTAATTTGAAACACCTTTAGTCTTTATTTATATCAAGTCTTTAATATAAATTGAATTTAATTTGAAACACTTTTAGTCGTCATTTATATCAAGTCTTTAATATAAATTGAATTTAATTTGAAACACTTTTAGTCGTCATTTATTTCAAGTCTTTAATATAAATTGAATTTAATTTGAAACACTTTTAGTCGTCATTTATATCAAGTCTTTAATATAAATTGAATTTAATTTGAAACACTTTTAGTCGTCATTTATTTCAAGTCTTTAATATAAATTGAATTTAATTTGAAACACTTTTAGTCGTCATTTATATCAAGTCTTTAATATAAATTGAATTTAATTTGAAACACTTTTAATATTTAATTTATCTTAAGTCTTTAAAATAAATTTAAGTTAATTTCAAACACTTGTTTCTAGGCACACTAGGTCGTGTCCTGTCACGGTCGCCAATGATCGAAAACTATTTAATTTAATAGTTTTTTCAGTTCTTTGATTTTATATAAAGATAGTAAAATCCAAATGCACCTTTTAGTTGAGAGGTTCACGTACCACTGATTTATTCTTAAAACATATTATTAACAATAGCAAAAACAAAACAAATGGAAAGCTGCGACTATTAAAGCTTTTTTTTTAGTTGTAAATAAATGTTAAATAATTGAAATTAAAATAAGTATAAGAGTACCCAATTGACTTAACAGGCCGTATCTACATCTAGGAGCCACTTGTGGCCGTCGACAACCAAGACCTGCTTCACACCTCCCTAGGAGACTTTACAAGTAGGTATGTGTTTGTTGACATATTTCGTTTGAATGTGTATTTTTCACTAAGAGGCAAGTCTCGGCCATCTTGCATATTAACTTACTTCTAATGATCGGAACTGAACCTAACCCTTGTGCTATCAGACCACCACCACTACCTGGCACTGTTTTATCTGCCACATTCCCGTCCATAAAAATTAAACCTCAGTTAGGTGCAACAGTTGCAATAACTGGTACCACCTTCGTAACTACTCAGGTTTGCATAACCATACTGATTGAAATCCTCCCTTTAGAGTAGCTTGTTATCCAACAACTCCTCTATTTTCATCTATTACTGGCAGCCTTTTCCAATCAATGACACCCAACCCCAGATCCTGACATCCTCCTCATCATCCACCAATTGGCTATGCATCGTGTATAATAGAGCAATCTCTAGAAATACCATCTCTGTTCGATGCAATACTTGCAACGGATGGTGTCATCTTAGAATTTAAATTTCGTTACCAGCTTTTACTCATAATTCCATCTCAAACCCGCTCACACACGCAACGCACTAGCGTAGTTTCCGCTATCAACAATTCACGCCCTCTTAAAAACCTACAGTTTAACTGCAAAGGCTTAAAAGGGAAAGTGTTTGCAGCATTCACGTGTTCCAACAATATCGCAGTAGGTGCACTGCAGGAGACAAATGTACTGCGTAACTCCCCTCTCTCACACCCTTCAGGCCTTACCATTATTCGTGAGGACCGCCCAAGGGGCGCTAGAGATTGAGTCACCTTTCTGTTGCGAAACTCAACATCTTATTGTAAACTTTCTCTGCCACCATCAAATGACAAATACTTGAAGGTGATAGGATTAAAGATTTTTATTAGTACGTCATCGAGATTCATCGATATAGTAAACATTTGTCTGCCACTCAAATTTAGCTGCCTTCCGCAGCACACCCCAAATATTTTTCACCCTCTTGATGGCAATTCGAGTTTTGTATTGTGTGATTGAATTGAATATTAAATACACACCATCCCCTGTGGTTATCTAACCTACCAACTGATCAGAGGGGCCTATAATTGGCATCTTAAATTGATGAATCTTCTTTTGATGCACTTAATGATAACTCGTCAACCAGGATAACCCCAACTTGTTCCAGCTGCCTTGATGTCAGTCTCGCAAGCTCCAGACTGCTCGATGCTTGGAAGTAGACTGTTAATATAGTCTTAAGCCCAGATCACACTCCTATCACGATATCGATGCCATCTATCGAGAATCTCACCACAATTTTAAAAAAGCGAATATGTTTTGTTTGTACATGAAAGAAAAATATGAATAGTGAGTATGTGATTTGTTGAATGTTTATTTATTAAATTTATGTTTGTACCATAAATGTTTTATATAATGTGTTGTGATTCTTGTATTCTACTTCAAAATCCTAATAATTAATAACGAAATTCATTTTTTTTATAATTCAATTCGCTTCATTGCGTTCTGAAGTAATATAAATCATTCATCAAACTTCGTGCAGTATTTGATAATTTAGTAGCAACTTCTACTGAACATTCTTCAATTTGTAATTTATGGCTGGGTATACAATTCAGAGAAATCACGTTTGTTACTCATTCGCCTTGGCTTTTTCCGTCTGCATTAATGGTTGGTATTTGCAAAA